ATGCACCATTATTGCAAGAAGTATTCCGAAATACCAGAAATAGGACGTAAGCTCTGATCAGGGGGACTGTGAGCACAATTACCTTCTTTTCAAATCCTTCTGTGACACTGCGGGAGGAAAAAGGACTTTGAAACTTGAAAGGAAAGAGCTTGCTTTCAACCTCAAAAGCTAGGAGGAAAGGGCTCTGAAATTTGCTCAGTATTCCCAATTCACCATTAGCCTGTTTCTTCCTTTAGCCTCAAGGCATTCTCCGCTTTTTGAAAAGATGTTAAGAAATTCAGTCACAATAGAGAGCCTAGTTTTGAACATGTTTCACTCGGTCCATTGAGGTCTGGTCTTCAGCCTTTGTGTGGGGTGAATTGAGCTGAGCAGCAAGCTGGTTGGGGAGAGGTGAATGAGCAGTCTCTGTGCAGTCACAAATTCTGGCAAAGAAAAGATTACCCTTTCCTTTATTTTACAATATGCATTCCTGTACAATCCTGCTAGTGGCAATATGCGGAGCCGAGCTTGTGCTTAGGTCAGTATGGAGCACTTGGTTTATAGCGACTCTTGTTAAGTTTGTCTTGTAATTGAAGCTGCTGTTGACCTTGCTTGGAGACCATTTGTAAAACCGTTTATTTAGCATAAACTGAAATAATAAACCCTCCTTCTCTTAGGCCGATTGTGATAGGGTGACATTAGTTTGATTTAATGATTAGCCGCCTGACCCCTCAGCTAGAGAGAGCTGCTTGAATAGGGAGAGTTCACTAGGAAGCACACAGGAAGAATACTAATGAGCTTGTTAAATTTAGCATGGCACCAACCACTTTTAATTCCTCTAATGGGAGAAGCACTGCCTCTGAGAGAGAGGGAGGGAGACGGGGAGAGGGGGGAAGAGGGAGTGAGAGGAAAAGAGAGGGAGGAATGCCCACGTCCCGCTAGCCACAGAATTTTGGTCAGGAGAAGAGCTGGGAGGGAGCATCAGCCAGGGTCTCTTGGACTGAGTTGTAAGTACCTTGTCTCTTCTCTTACCCAGCCGAAGTGTGTCGGCAGATCGCTCATGAGACAGTAATGCTCTCTGCAAGTTGCGTGCAGAAATGCGGCAATGAAACTTAATACATAAACAGATTTAACTGGGCTGGGGTTGTTTTGTTTAACCAGGGGTCTCTCTGAAGTGCGTTGAGACTGATTTTTATTGTGGTGTATCAATAGATTTCAACTTTTTTTTTTTAGTAGCTGACTTTGAGGTTTAAAATAAAAAAGTGTCTACTTTTTCTTGGTCTACAATAAAAAAAGAGCAAAAAAAGTTCAACAGGAAAAGAAAGTTTAATGGATTTTCTCATTAGGTTTTTGTTTGTCCTGATTTTTAATTTTCTGGGTAAATTAGCTGAGCAATTAAAAGTGTGTTTATTCAGGCATGCTGTCCAGTGTGAGTTTTTTGAAAAAGCTTGTTGATTAAATGAGGTGTTTCTTGGTGCTTAGCACTTCTAATAAAAAGTGCTTCTGATCAGAATAGCACGACTAAATCGGGTATTTCTCAGTGGATGGGAGAATCTTGGATTACTGCGATCGTTCCAGGCTGGGCACTTGTAACACGTGTCTCTGGCTACTGGATTGTTAAGACAGAGTAGGGTATACACGAAGAAAGAGAAGCTTATGCAGATTGCTCTTGGGGCCCGATTACTTTTTTTCTTCTCTTATTTAACCCCTCACTTACACCCACAAAAGATGAGCTGAACTATGCTGGAGTCAGTGGGGTCCCACCAGCAGGAAGCAGGTGGAGATGAGGGAGGATCAGTCCCTTTAACTTTGGCATTCATCTCTCTGCAAGATTTTTAGTAAATCGGATGTATCTTTTGACCCTAAAGCTGGCGACTTCTAAAACGTGAGCAGAGCAGTAACAGTTGTCGTGTATTTGGCTGTAAACCCCTTTGGCAGATGCTGCCAGAGAAGTGGGCTGTTTGCTTACATTTTTGCTATAGACTCCCACTTGTTGCCATGGTGGACAGTATGTTTCTGTCAATAATTTGGCCTGGCATGGCTTGCCTGCACTTACTCTTAAAACTTTATTGAATGATTCAGCTCCAACAGAACAAGATTAGGCGGCTTTTGCCTTTTGGCGCACTGGAGGGGCTCACCTGCCGTTGAGAGAGTCGGTAGCATGACTGCAAGAGGAGTTTCCAGCTCAGCGCCCGGGGAGCTACTCCAAAACCGCTCGCCTGTTTGTGTCCTGCAGCGCGGGTGCTGTCAAGTTTCTCATCTGCCCTTCTATCAAAAGCTGCTGAGTGGTGCGGAGCGTGAAGTAAACGCTTAGCGAGATGGTTAGCTGTTGGATGTGCCTTATTATTGCAAAAATGCCATCATGTTTACCTGAAAAAAAAAAAAAAATCTCCTTCAGGGAAAGTTTTTACATGGCAGACAATGTACAGAAATGTTTGATTTCTAATAGCACACGGCAGTAATTTCATAATGAGAGAGTTGGTTGATGCAGAAGGAAAAGTACTGCTTTTTGTTTTCGTTTTTTTCTTGAGGAACCAAAAAAAAGGCAAGCTTATTAAAACAAAACACATTTTTCCTTTAGTTTCAAAGTTACTGAAAGTAGGTTTTGAATTTCATTCAGCAATTTGGAAAATCAGCTTGTTCCATAGCAGTCACTAGTACCTTGATTCATGACACGTGCATGTTTTGAGAAAGAAAGAATAAAAGTGGAGCCTGCAGACAGACGTCAGCTTCTTATTGTATCCCAGGATGGCAGTTTTAACAAATATTATCTTTATATGGAAGAGTAAAAGAACTGAAATCCTATCTGATCCTCGGATTGATTATACAGCCCCACAAATCACTCCAGCTTGCTTCTTTCCGTACTGTGGTAGCACAGGTTAGCTTGCTCTGCTTAAGGGTCTGTCAGGATTTCAAATGGAGTGTAATCCCCTATTTTTACAAGAGTTTACATCTCATCAGTGAAAGTTCACTCTAGGTTGAAATTTAACATAAAAGACTCCGGCTAGAGGGAAACGTGATGGAAAATATGACTTTGGGGTGATTTATTTTTTATTTTTTAGTTATACAAGCAGCTTTCTAAAAACCTCATATAAGTTTTAAAGTTTTAGGCTCCCTTTTGCAGTTCTCTAACTAAAACCAGCTTTGGTGTAAAAAGTTGAAACCTTAAACCCTGCTAATCCAGAGCAGTGACCGGTGCCTGTGCATATTAATAAAAGTAGAAAAGGGCAAAGGGTTTAAACTCTGCAGTGTTGTTGTCTGTTTCCATTAACTCTTTCTCCTCAGACCCAACCCTGGAAATGCTCTGTATGGAGAATTACTGCTGGCTGTAAAAAGAATTCAGTCCCTGGAAGATGCTGATAAGTCAGCAGACCCCAGTTGCTGTAATACTTGGAGATAGAAAAATAATTAAGTGCTCAATAGGCTACGCTGCTGGGTTTTCCTGTTGTTGCTACTTGGGAGGAGGGGGGGCAGGGAGAAGCCTAGCGAGTACCACGTTCAAAGCATTGGTCTGGCTAGTTTATGCATGTAATGGCCAAAATTCAGCTGCAGGTATCTATACGTACAGAGTCTGTTTCTAATCTAATTCATATGAAGGCAAATAGGTTGAGTTATGCTGGTGTCAGGCTTGGTGAAAGTAGTCTCCTGGTGAAGTGCTGTCTGATGCTTTTGCTGTGTGAACGAGTATAACAGGGCAAGGTATAAGTAAAAATTTAGCCCTGACATCAAATCTCTGACAACTGAAGTGCAAGCTTGGCACTGTTGTCAATGATCCTTCCTTGCATGTGGGTTGTAGAGTAAGGATACCTTAGTTTTATTTCCTAGGGGTGTTTTCATTTCCTTTCGAGTTACCTTTTTTGTGCCCGGTGTTTAATAATCTGAGGTTCCTCACATACTTGTAGAATGGCTGAGCAGCTTCTGAAGCTAAGCGTATTTATCAGTACTTCTTTAAGATATAATGGTGTGCACCCACATGTGCAGTGTGGCTGATTTGAACAAGGCTGTACCTGGAGCATGGGTATCGGCCAAGGATTACAGCCAGCAATCGTGCTTGTTCAGAGGAATGCCTCTGTATTTTAAAAGCAATAATGCAACTTAAGGAGGACATTTACAGTTGTGTAACTAACAAAACCCCTTCACCACGTGGCACGTGTGAAATGTACCTGGGAGCATGCGTCTGGCTTTTGAGGAACAGAACCATTTGGTCCGACTTTCGAAGGGTGCACGTGGTCTCCAGGGGTTAAAATTCATGTGGGAGCAGAAGGTTGGTCCAGCAGCTGGTCCTGGGGCTGCCTGCAGGGGAGGCTGGTGGTGGAGCCATTGTCAGGAGGCCCTTTTCGAGTAGTACAAGTGGGGTACCACAGGCCTGGAGGCTTACTCCAGACTAGGGCTTGGGTTTGACCTTCCTGATTTTTATCCCTCCCCCTTTTCTTTTCTCTGTGTTTATTAAGAATTTGTCTGTGTGGGTATGGGGAAAAGAGGGAGGGGGAGCGTGTTCGACCACCCTGCATCCGTGTGGTGACACTGTTAGAGCGAGTGGCTTCACTTGTGCCTGCCGGATGCTGCTGGTGCTGTATCCTGAGCAATTTTACCCATTTTATTGTTGCCCACCTTACTTCTGATTGCTAAGCACCTTTCCTGCAAGACTCCAGCCTCTCCCACAAGCGAACCTCCAGGGACAGGGGCCGGGCTGCGGAGCAGCAGTGGGTGGCTAGGTCTGATTTAGGCCCAGCCAGCATGGTTCATCTTCTCCTCTCGGTGACAGATTGGTTTTTTGCCTCCCTGTCAGGCAGCCCAAACTCCCAGTCTCCTTGTCCTAGAGGCAAGGAAACAGCAAGCCTGCGTCTCTTCTGGCAGGATTGATAGCCCTGCCGGTAGGAGCATCGGTGCACGGGTGACGATGATCTACCGCTGGGGGGGGGGAACTTTTTCTTTATTGTGTTTGCTATAAATGGGCTAAAAGTGTGTGTCTCTCTCTTTCTCCTTCCCTTCTCTCTTTCTTCTCCCTCGTTTTTTTGCAGAGGATGAAAGTCCTGGGCAGACCTATCACAGAGAGAGAAGGAACGCGATCACAATGCAGCCGCAGGGTGGGCAAGGCCTCGGCAAGATCAGTGAAGAGCCTTCCACGTCGAGCGAGGAAAGGGCCTCATTAATCAAGAAGGAGATCCATGGATCTATATCGCACCTTCCTGAACCTTCTGTACCTTATCGCGGGACGCTCTTTACCATGGACCCCCGAAACGGTTACATGGACCCTCATTACCGTGAGTATCGATTGCTGGTTCGTTTGGGGGCGCAAAGTTGGAAGGCTGTCAAGGCTGTCAAATTTAATGTAATTTTATTTGTTGCCTTGCATCATCCCCAGGGAGAACTGCTTTGCCTGGGGGGGACCCCAGGGGGTTTGAGGTAAATACAGTCTTTATTTCTGAAGTTAAAAACCAGAGTGCAGTTGCATTGCAGCTCAAAATTATCCCAGGCCTCTGCAAAGCAACTTCCACAGGACATCTCATCTGTTGCTAATCCTCCTCAGCCATCCAGGGTTGCATTTGCTCCACCTCCTTAATACATGGAGAAAAAAAGCCTCATTAAAGAAAGCACAGAGGGAAAATGAAACAGGCCTTAAAATCGCTCTTTTAAAACAACGTTAAAAGTATGGTACTAAGAGGAGGAAGGACCATGCCTTGTATAATGAGAATTTGGAGGAGGGGGGAATCAGAAGGTTTATTATTGCTGTGGTTTGGGGGTTTTGTTTTGTTTTGGAATATTTTTTAGGGATTCATGTGCGTGTTTGAGTATCCGGGCTGATGGAGCGGTTTTGCAATTTTCTTCCCCAGCTACAGTTCCCTGAAGTTGGGGGGGGGAGGCAAATGGTTTCAACTTCTGAATTCCTGCTCAGGCATTAATAAAAAAGTAAGAAATTAACTGACACTTGAACACAGATGTGGAATGGATTTCTCCACAGGCAAAATATGAGGGAGTTAAGCAATTTTTTTCATCTGCTTCTAGTTTACAAAAAAAGAAAGAGGAAAAAAGATCATTTAGTTGTGTAGTAATGAAGTACATCTTGAGGTGTCAAGGCTTGTGCCTTTTGATTATAGATTTATCACCCAGTCAGGATACAGATTTGCCATTTAACCTTCCAGTCTCCAGTTCCAGATGATAGGCTTAAGACCCACAGAGGGGCCAGTCTGCATTGGGGTTGGTTTTTTTTTCCACATCATTCAGAAATTTTAGTGTTTTAAGGCAAAAGGTCATTAGCCAGACGACTGATTAGTGAGGACAGCTGATTAGTGCATGTTTTTTTGCTAAAGAAAGTGCCAGGGATAAAAGCTAATTTTATCCCTTCATTAGTTGGGCTAGCAGCAAAGGGGAATGTTCACTCATCAGGGTGCAGATCAAAGTATGTCTTGCACAACCTTAAGTCTCACCAACCTCCTTTTTTTTAAAAAAAAAAAAAAAAAAAGCCTGATTGTTAATAAGGATGGAGGTATTATCAGAAAATGAACAGTTGTTGTCTTTATAGTTTAGATCACTATTCAGGGGAGAAGTTTGCAGTTAAGCTTTTGAGCTCTCTTCCAGTGTAGGCAGTCGGGTTTCTGTACACCCTCCTCCTCCTCTTTCGCACAGCCCCGCTCAAACCCTCTGGGGGAGTTACTCATCTTTCTGCTGAGGAGGATGTGCTGCAGCACACCAGCAGCAGACTTCTCTGCCAGAGAGGCGTGAATGTGCGGAGCAGACGACTGCTCACAAGCAGCAGCGTGTAGAAATACTAGCTTGCGGGTTAGAGGCAACATTTGTAGCTTACGGTTCATTAATGCAACCCCCAAATCTCATTTAAAAAAAAAAAAAAAGAAACCTTATTGGGGAAGTGAAATAGCTTCTCTGTAGGCAGTACAGCTGGGGAGAGATAAAACGTGTGACAAAAACAACCCCCCAAACAAGGACCAAGCCTTATGCTGAATTTAGTGGTGATGATTGCCATTTTGACCATCTGACCAGCTGCCAGCTCACCCCTTAAATCTAGTTCAAAGTGTTATTGATACAACTGAAGATTCAGACTGAAGAAAAAGGGCTGCCCGGTTAGAATGAGTCTGGGTGGTTTGCACTTAGTTTATTTAGTTTTATTGTATTGGATTTGCCTTTTGATGAGAGTTCTCAAGATTTAATGAAGGTACTATGTCTGTATTGTGACCAGTAACGCTTGCTAGTTCGGATGTGTGGGCTACTAGAAAAACATTGATGTCGGAAGTTGAGAGAACAGCCGAAGTTATCCAGCATGTAACAGTAGAGAAACAGGAGATGAGTTAATTTTAAATGAGCAACATGATCGTAAAGCAGAAGACTAAGTCAGAAAACATCAGATGGGCAGACCAGCTTCACCGCTGCTCGTAGAGAGTTGTACGTCTGTACTCACTGATTTATAAAATCCCTCAAGCTATTAATGTCATATAAAGAGCCATCACGCTTTTATTTACCTTTAATAGATGTGATACAGAAGGACAACTAAAGACACAAATGTCTAGTTAGATTTATAGGAAAGCAGACAGGCTTACTGAAATTTTCATAGTAGTTGTATCATTTATATATATAAGACATGCTTTCATCAAAGTGGTGACTGTATTCAGGCTGACACTTATAGTGGTCCATATGAAGAATACTGAATAATGTAAACATACCCCAGTCCCACTGTAGCAACAGGTGAAGAACCAACAAGGCTATCGTTCCCTTCCTTAGTTTCTTGCCATTTTTTCTGGGCATATGGATAGAAAATACTGTTTTAATTCAACATAGTTGGGTATGTAAACACTCACAGTAATTCCTTAGTTTCCCTGTGGTTGGAAAATATAGACTTTTCAAGATGCCTAATTTGTGCTTCTATTTATACCCACTTTGTATTTAAAAGTGTGGGCAGGCTTCCTGTAACACAGGAAAAGGGAAAATAATTTTTTTGAAGAGGGACATCTGTGTATCTTTATGGCAAGAAAAGAAAAAGAGCATTTAAGTCAATTGTGTGGGGAACGCATGTCCCCTCCAGGAGCTGCAGTTATTAGAAACAACTTGAATGCTTTGCATTTCTACATGTAAATATGCGTGTCTCTGTATGTGCATTGCAGAATTTTTTGTTGTTATAATTTTTTTCCTAATTAAAATGACTGATGTCGTAAATGTTGGAAATAATAGTTACCATATATGTGGAATAAATACCTCATTGAGGGGAAGTTTGCTCTCCTGCAGAGTGTGGGTGGGGATAATGGTTGTGTTTCAAGTGGACCAGCTTTTCAAACAGCTGGGATGAAACATGCTCTGGAGCTAGCGGCCCTTTTGCACTGCCAGAGAGCCCCTCAACCATTTAGCAACTGAAAATGAGAGTGGCCTCATGTTCAGCCCACAGCCCTCTGTTCTCTAAGAGATAAAAGGGAAAACACGCAGGCCTAAACCAGAAATTTTTGTTTTCTGTCTTTTTTTGTTACAGATTTCTTAAGCACCATTTAAACAATGTTCACAAAGTCTAGGGGTTTGGTTTTGTTTTTTAACTTTTAAAAAACTTTTCTTTTTGAAAGCTTTAGGGCAGATGACAAAACTGTTGGAGCTTCCTACCATGTGTTGCACCTTTTCTTTATTGAGGAGAGGAGGGTTACTGAGCTTAGTCGCAGCGTTTCTTAAATGGATTTAAAACCCCGTGTTTCTAAAACACTGATTGCATTTGTGGCTGGAGCCCCTTGTTAATGTAAATTCTGTCTCTAGAGGTGGGGCTGAGGCAGGGGAGGTGGGGATAGCAACTTCCCTTTGTTATTCTCTTCCCCAATTTTAATTCCCACGCAGATTTATGGCAGTGCTAAGACTGCTTGTCTCGCAAGTTATTCCTCATGGAAAAAATGAATCATTCCTGATGTAAACACTTTGATTTAAAACATACTGCTGGTATTCTTCCCTGGGTTTCACAGCTCATCTGAAAGAATTGTTAGTTCCTAATTAGTAAAGCCTGAAGAATTATCTTAAGTAAAAAGCAGTGACAGTTCAGTTGGCTCTGATCTAAAAATTTGTATATACAGGAATGGCCCTGGAAGGATTCTCTTTCTGGTACATCCCTTCATCTCAGAGGTGCACTGAATGTAGCTGAAAGCAGGAACTCACTCTTTTTTTTTTTTTCTTCTTCTTTTTTCTTAGTGGGGATTTATTCTGCTGGGTTTGAAGCTTCTGTATTTATCTGGGGAAGTGGGAACTGCTTATTGCACATTTCATAGGATTAACCCTCCAAAGGTATTGATTGCCCTCAGTTCCCACTGACTGTGCCTGGACTTGTGCTTTGTAAGGATCGGACCCCTCGTAACTGCCCGGGTTAGATTAGTCAGTGTTAGTGTCATCTCGGAATCAATTTGCGAAGTGAACAAAAGACCACAGCAAGGAAAATACACTGCTGGTTCACTAGGTGCACTTGTTCATTTACTGTCTTTTAATTTCTATTGACAAAAATGCCCCTTCCTTCATCTCCCCGTAGAAAAGGAAAAAGGGAGGGGGGAACAACCCAGGAAATTAGCTGTTGTTTCTGCAAATGCAAACTGGTAACTGGAAACACTGCCTTAAAATGCAATAATTAGAAAGTGATAATTTTTCATGGTAACACGGGTTGAACCACGATGGCCAGTTATGTGCGGTACATTGGGCAGTGGCAGCAGTCCAGGTCACCACCAGCAGATGAGCTTATGGAAGGGGGTCTCTATTTGCTTTATAGACGGGGGAGCCAGTGGCTTCACTTGTCCTCTCCCTGGCACATTTTGGGATGTTGGAAGGACAACCAAGATGTCTTTTGATAGTCTCAAAGCAGGCACTTTTAGCTCACCTCTAGCTCGCCAGAGTCACTGTGTGGCAGGAGCCCAGGACAGCTTTTTATAGAGTTTCCCTTCAGCCTTGTTGCAGAGCAGTAGGAGAGTGTGAGTGAGGAATCCTTGTAGACATTTAGGGCTGGGGTCTTTAAAAACATTTAGGGGCTTTTCAATTTCAAAGTGAGTTTAGCCGCTTAAATACCTCTGAAAATCTCTTCACTGACAGTGATTTACGGGGTGGTCTCCAAATGTTGTCAAGGAGGGGTAGTTGAAAAAAAGTAAAATCTAAAGCTTTTAATAAAACTCACAGGAAAAAAGGCCCCTAGTATGAAAGTGAATGTCAGATTACAGGTGGTAGCTGAGCAACTGAAATTTTGGTCTTGAAGAAAATTAGCATGTATGCAAAAACATTTGGGGTTTTTTTGGGGGATAAAAATCCA